TAAATACTTTATAATGTTGCTTAATGGTTAATAAAGCAAATTCATAATAATACAGGTTATAATGGAAACAATAACAAATGATTATTTTAATAGACCCTTCAATAAATTGCTGATTAAACTGTGCAGTGTGCCCAACGAATCTGAAAAATGGCTAAACGACCTCTGATGAGTTTTAATGAAAAAAAAGAAGAAAAATTAGTGAAGGGAGTAGAAGGGGCGAAGGTGGTGATTGCCAGGACTGTGAATAAAATATACTGACAGCAGGATGGGGGAATCACCATCCTTTTCTCATCTCCTCCTCAATACTGTCTTTGGTACTGCACTATTTTTAAGAATTTACTGTTGGACGAAGCTTCCACCATAGACAAGGTATGGAGGATCACCATAACCCGAAGTTCGGAGACAAGGATTGTTTTGCACTGTAATGATGAGGAGGTTCTTGATATTGTGCGGTCTGACTTTAGATGTGAATACTCCCATCGGAGAAAGAGTTGGAACATTATAATCCCGGAAATATTCTTCCACTCCTTCGACACAGCCTCATATTATTACAGACAGGGTAACAATAATAATAAACCGATATGAATATCATAATTAGGTTTTGAAGGCAGTTCCAAACCAGTTCTAATAGTTGAATTGAAATTTATCGATTGAACCCGAAGTCCAGAACCCCCTCAAAAGTTTGGTCTCACTAGGCCTCAGTTTGTTCCACAAAACAGTAAAATGAATCCCCTTGAAATCAATTAACTTATTTGCAATGATTTGAATAATATCTCGTTAAATTCCAATTTAACGATATAATAAGAACTATTCTAAGATCTCCCGTTTGTAATCTCCTTCGTAAGTTAATTATACATTTACAGGGTGAGTTGAAAATAGTGTGTGGAAAGTAAAAATATCGATAATTTTTTTTATGAAGGAGCAAATTTTGAAAGGTGAATTGCTATCAGTTCATAAACTTTACATATTTCATTCTTGCCTCTCATTTGATTCTAACTCATAATTTGGTTGATTTTTGGCAGTTTTCCAAAAAATCTTAAATTCGTCCTAATGGTGTTCTCAAATCGTGTGCCCTGAAAATCGAGTCTAAAAATCTATATTCTCCTACATTTTTAAAGCAATCACCCTGAAACTTTCAGGATATGTTCTAGGGATCATTTAAAAGAGATGAGCCAGACAAATTTTGAGATAGGCCTTTTAAAAAATTTTATTCGATTTTGAAAATCGTGGACCTCAAAAAATCATCAAAAAACGAGGTCCAAGATTTTCAAAATCGAATAAAAATTTTTTAAAGGCCTATCTCAAAATTCTGTCTGGCTCATCTCTTCTAAATGATCCTTAGAACATATACTGAAAGTTTCAGGGTGATTGCTCAAAAAATGTAGGAGAAAATAGATTTTTAGACTCGATTTTCAGGGCACGCGATCAAAAATCGCTCGCGCAATACAATTACCACACACGCGCTGACCTTTGACCGGCAATAATTTCGGCTAGGAACGATATTTTTCCACGGCATCAAAAGCATCTGATAGATATTACTCCCCTCTATCAGAAACAACTAACTAAAAAGTCGATTTTGAGAAAATTTCCATGAAGACCCCCCTGCCCCCATAATACAGTCAAGGTCGGCCTAGACAATTGTCTTACACGTTATCAATAGGTCCTAGCTAATAAAGGACGATGGGTTGAGCAAATTATTAATTATTAAGTATTTTAATTGTATTATTATAAAAAGTATATATTTTCATTACCTAAATATGCAAAAATTAAGTGGAAATTTCATTTGTCAAAAAAAATTAGAGCCATTTACTTTCCACACAGCTAATTATACATTTATAGTTACCTTGTCGAGACAGTCTGTAATAATCTGAGGCTGTGTCGAAGGGGTGGAAATATATCTCTGCAACCTCTCCATCCACGGTTTCATCCAGTGAATGTAATGGCAATTTATGGTGTTAAGCATGACGTCAACCACTTCCACATCGTTACAGTGTATAATAACCCTGGCTCCTTTAGTTCCCAAACCCAGGCCATGATCAGTCAACCGTGTTATGTTTATTTTCCATATCTTGTCAGTAACCTCGGGTAAGGGTATTTGGAACTGAGTTCCAACTTTCCAGCAGTACCAAAGTTTGTATTTGGGAGTGGTTTCGAATGCTATGTTCACTCCTCCTGCGTGTTGTCCTTGAGACACAGAAATCTGATCTCCACTTCCAATTTCACTGTTGGTTCTTATCTCCATGTGAAATGACTTGAAGTCAGGGTAAGGTATCACAACATCATGTTCTACTGCTGTCCATCCTGCTTTCATGGAGTCAGCTTTAAAACTCCGACGTATCGGGACTAGGAACCGACCGGAATGGGCTTTTGGCTGCCGGACCGGATCTTGCCGGATATCAATTTACTATCTGGTTAGCCGGATTCTGCCGGACCAAAACCGGTGTTTGGAGGGTAAAATATAAGGCAGCCGGAACTTGCCGGAAAATTTAAATTTATATCCTTATTTTTAGATATTTGTCATTATCATGTGGAATTACACAATAAGATAGTGTTAACCTAAATTTTCGAATAATTTTTAGCTAATTTTCGTTCAATTTTCAACCAAATGAAAGTCATAATTGAAATTCTGATAGGCAAGCAGCAAGCTGCAAGTTGACTGAGCAGTTGTTGCAACGTGCATACGGGGTTCCGCATTCCTCTGAGTAGTATGGTGTTTACGGGAGGTACGTATCGAGAATGATTCGGACCCAACATTTTTTAAGTCAAAATTTTTTCGAAGTTTTTCTGAAAACCACCTTTCTCCACGTTTCATGCTACCCTGTTCATTATTAGCCGAAAATATTTTTAGGGGTTTTTCAAAGTCGGCACCCACCCCTCCATACACAATTTTGGACTCCAGGCTACCCCTGTACTTAATGCGATCTCGGAAGGCAGGCCTCCCCTTTGCAACACGAGCTCGGAAGCGGGAGCTCTCGATACTGGAGGTACGTATCGAGAATGAGTCGGACCGAACATTTTTTAAGTCAAAATTTTTTCGAAGTTTTTCTGAAAACCACCTTTCTCCACGTTTCATGCTACCCTGTTCATTATTAGCCAAAAATATTTGTTTTTCAAAGTCTTGTGAAAAAAGTTTTGATTTTTAGGGATTCGAGTTAAAATTTGACGAAATATACGCATTTCAAGATTTTGAAAATACGTTTTAAAAATGAAATATCCGGCAAAAAATCTGGTAAAACTTTTTGAAACCGGAGCCGGACCCGGACCCGGAGCCGGAACCGGATATTGAAGCCCTAATAGGAACCAAAGAATTACTGTGTACTGGGAACTTCAATTTATCGCAGGAGTTTTTAGATCCCCAATACTGTCCATTAACATTAACAATTAATATTGATGGTTAATAATAACTTATTATTAATTGTCAATATTAATTTAAAATTTTAAAAATAGTAATATACTTAAGTATATTACTATTTTTAAAATTTTAAAATGCTTACCATTGATAAGATAAGATATTAGGATAAGAACTTACCATTGTTTGCAGCAATAGTTTCCACGAGATGACCAACCAAGTACAGAATCATCCTGATATCGTAGTGCTGTTGTGAATGTACATAAAGGTAAAATATACTAAAATAAGATAAGGGGTACAAACTACAAGGGTAGTGAGTTAAACAAAAAGAGAAAAACTAAAATTTTGAGGTGCACTCCTCTCTTTAAGTTTTTAGAGAGAGAATGAAAGCTTTAAATAAAGCGATTAATCAATGGTTGAATAGTTATAGTATAGATTTTGTATCAATCGGCCAATGTGAACTATTTTAGACTCCTTAAATTACTTTATTCAGCACAATGTATACTTAGCATTTAAAGAATTTACAAAGGTGAATTTACAAAGGTGATAACCATGATTATCATAATCATAATTGATAATAATTTACAAACAACATTAGCTCCAGACGACCAGACAGAGCTATGTTTAGTTAAGTTTCGTTGGGTTAATAGTCCGGAGATAAGTCCGGAGAGGATCGCTCAGATGAAGTGAAGTTTGGTTTTCTTCTTACTGTTCCGACAGTGAATGGAGCCAGGAGATATTATCCAAATTCAGGAAGGACACATTTCCTTGAGCAAGAATATACTTTCTTGGTTCTCCGATAAACTTGATCTGCATCTGATTCGATGATATGGTTTATTATACATAGTACATACAGTATAACGCGAACGGCTGAAAAATCCCAATTTAGATCACTATTCATTATTTAATGACTTATTAATGCACATTAATGCAAATTTTTAATGTTAATGCAAATCTAAGATAATGACTTAATTGTATTGTACACACTCCATCTTCATATTCTTATAGAACTCAGTACTCACACATAATCGCCAGTTAATAACCAATTATCTCCTTATGAATGTAGTCTAACTTATAGAGACAGAGAGAGAGAGAGAGAGAGAAGAGAGAGAGAGAGAGAGAGAGAGAGAGAGGGAGAGAGAGAGAGAGAGAGAGAGAGAGAGAGAGAGAGAGAGAGAGAGAGAGAGAGAGAGAGAGAGAGAGAGAGAGAGAGAGAGAGAGAGAGAGAGAGAGAGAGAGAGAGAGAGAGAGAGAGAGAGAGAGAGAGAGAGAGAGAGAGAGAGAGAGAGAGAGAGAGAGAGAGAGAGAGAGAGAGAGAGAGAGAGAGAGAGAGAGAGAGAGAGAGAGAGAGAGAGAGAGAGAGAGAGAGAGAGAGAGAGAGAGAGAGAGAGAGAGAGAGAGAGAGAGAGAGAGAGAGAGAGAGAGAGAGAGAGAGAGAGAGAGAGAGAGAGAGAGAGAGAGAGAGGGACATAGAGGGACATAGAGAGTGTGTGTGAGAGAGGGAGAGAGAGCATGAAGGTAGCACCATTACCACACCCTCCTTTTTTCCTTGCTCACACACAGAGTGCTTGTGTTATAGCCCGCCACACAACCATTGTGTATCTACTACACCATTTGCAAAGGAGCTTATTGGGCTCTCTAACCAAATTACACAGCCTAGCCACCCGCACAGGTCTCATTGTGTATCATCCTCTTTGTCTTGCGTGAAAGAGCTCTGTTTTTGCTGTTCACAGGAAGGGAGTTGTGATGTTAATCGGGGTGTTGATCGTTGGTTTACAGTTCTTGCAGCGATCAGTCATATCAGGTTTGGATGATCGGATGTACCTTAGCTTTGATATTTAATTTAATTTATATGATTGTGGATGGCTCCGAGATAGGTCCAAGTTAACTCTAACTTGAGTAGTTGAGTTAGCTAAAATAACACTAACCGTGACTGTTCATGTTTCAATGAATTTTACAACAATCCATCCGCAGAGGATTGTACAGGATTGCCGCCAGATAAAACTTACCTGACCGTGGGAAACCCCACCACTTTCCCCATTGCAGCAGGTAACACAGTGCTAGTGAAATGTAGAGACGACGATTTGGTGCTGCACGGAAGTTTACACCTCACGTGTTTGAAAGGGATAACTTTTCATTTCCAGTCTGATCCTGTATGCGAACCAGGTTGGAAATTTAGTCATTCCTTCCAATTAATTGAGCTATGGAGATAGTGATAACGCTATATGTACTATGACGCAATCTTCAAACAATCCAGGGAGGGTGATATTTTCATGGATCTCACCCCTCCTTAGTCCCCTACGAGTATATTAATATACAGATCCCTGGATGTTGATCCGCAAAATAGCAAGTTAAATAAGGGTTCTTGATACTACAGTCAACAACTTAAGATTTGATTTGAAACTTTTACAAAATAGCAAATTTACAGCAAATTTAACAAACTTATAAAATGGACCGAAATTATTTAAGAACTTTGGTCACGTTTTTATTCTGGTCAGATAGTGTTTGTGACTAGAAGTAAATATTCCCTTTATTATAAATATCCTGATATTATTCCAATTGTTTCAGCAAAGGGGCACAGCGTGTGGCTGATAGTTGGAATAGTTGTGGGGTTGATTGTAATTGTTACGGCGGTACTGGGCGGTGTTTATTTCTACTTCAAGTCGGGGTTAACCACATGACGACCATTAAGATCCATCTGAAGTGACCCCATCCCATTCTACAGCTCTAAAGGATTTTATACTGGACTGAAGCAAGTTAGAATATAAAGGCTCTGGAGTTGAACCTAAAGGGACCCAGCTGCTGCTAAGAAATTATCAGTGGGGGATGGCGTTAAATTATTATAGATGTGGATTCTGGCGGAGAGTTGACAGCAATATATCAATTTAATCTTTCACATCAACTGACACGTGTCACTCCACCTCCCCACCAAAATCAACATCTATTGATACTGACTAATCATTGATTTAGATCCTTCCTTTACTTGGCCCTCATTGTATTGGAAACTAAATCCCGGACGCCATCTTCCGGACAGTATGGATAAAGTTTTATCAAATTTGCGATGTATGATGCAACATTTTAGATTTAAATTTATTTCATTTCATTTATTTCGTGAATAACTACAAGTCAGATTATTTCCATTCGTTATTCACCGTGTTTATAAATTAATAAAAAGTATTAATCAAGTAAGAGTGATTATTGTCCTAAATCGCTTGTATTCACGTTGGTGCGACAAATAAAACTGTATTTTCAATAAAGGTCTCGACGTTTCAATGTAAGAGGGAATATATAAACTAAAATTTGATGCAGTCTGCAGTAATAGCAACGAGAAGTGCGCAAGATTATATTATATACCGGATACGTGATGTGAAACGTAATATAAACATTTAAATAGTAATAACGTCCCTGGTTAATTAATTAATTAGATTATAAGTACAGAGGCCAAGCACTAGCAACCATGATACTTATAAATATAACACCAAAATAATCTGATCTTCAAAAATCTTTACTAGACTGAAAAATTGCCACCAGATTTGCGACTAAGAAAAAAACAGGGTAGTTGAGAAACATTATCATGGCCGACTATGGCTCAGTGGATTGAATCAATAACGTAGTACTGACCTTTTAGCAAAAATTGAGAAAAGTTCATCGATTTCTTCTTTTTTATAATACAGTGTTAAATTAATGCAGCTGCAGAAATTGAGGCATTTTCTTTGATGTCATAAATCCCCATCACAATGACAAAAGTCAGATACCCGTCAAAAATTTGTCGACACGTTGCATAAATTTATAACAAAACAGCACACATTGAATCTTAGCATCAACGATTATGTTTTGTGTTATCAGTTATGACTCCAAGTTAGACTTGAGATTTATAATAATGTTAGATTCATTCATCAATTCATAATTTACAGCATTTATGTGCTGTAGTAGTATAGTATACAACGCAGGCTTTGAATCCTTAACTGACAGTCAGGACTGAAGGATACAAGTTATAAATTTATTCAAAGCAAAGTCATCGCATCATTATATTGTCATTGTAAACCATAGTATACTAGGAATTAGGAACCTATAATACTTGCATGAGTATGCTATATTGATATTACTATAGCAGTATGCTATATTAATATTTCCGGCTATAATTTTGACAATTCTTACATACATTTTTGATGTAAATGCCAGTATTGCAGCTCGTTGCTATAGTTTATTTCTACCTACAAGAAGCTATTAGGGCACTAAAAACTTACCCAGAGAAGACGGTAAACATTGCCGCACGTTGTAGGCCCGCCGCGCACAAGTGTGCAGCTGTATCGTGACTTTCGCCCCGATACACTAAGTCATAAGTGAAATGACAATGGGGGTCACGACGTGATATAATAATAAGGTAAACATGCTTTTGATCGAGCGTGCTAAATCACTCTACAGTCGATCTTCGAGATTGTTCTAAAAGGGCCCCCGATGGTTGTAACCAACTTCAAGGATGTATTTTCGGACGCTGATTCCGAATCACCCCCCATGACATAGGGTTAAAATGCTCTCCTGACGAGATATTGGCGAAAAACTGTATCGATCACGTGATATGACCGTATAATAAGGAAGTTAGTCTAATTTCTCGTTAGGGTTAGGGTTTTAGCATATGTTTTTGTTAAGGATTGGGTTAGGGTTAGGGTTATGATCAGATTAGAGGGTTAGGGTTTCGAAAAGTCGTTCAGAACCAGCTAGAGAACGGGTTAAAAAAGTCACGTGACAGTCGAGTGTAGAGTGATTAATCATCATCCTTTATGCTTTATATTTAGTAAAATTATGTAGCATCAATAGTAATAAATCTAGAATGCTATTGTCATATTTCGGTTTGGTGGACCAATACAAATTTTTAAAACGTTTAAAAATGTCCAGGATTTAGTGGCTGACTCGGTTTAGACACAACCAACACAGTACAACTACAGTGGAGATGCCGGCTGAATTTTCAGGCTGGGCAATGTAAAGTAATCATTATTTAATAATTTTACCAAAACCCATAATCATGGGTAGAGTGGACCGCTGCCAGTGTCTCTCTTTCCCAAACAAAAGGAAATGATATTAATTTGATTGACCGTTCTCAAATGCAAAATGATACCGAGAATGAAATCGGTCGCTCGCTTTCCCATTCATTCACGGCATACGAATTGTAATAAGTTTCGATTGATTACATCAATCAGATGCTGTAAAAATCTCTTTGGGTTGCGTTCGGGTCGATACCTAGTATTTCGGGGTAAGGGTGGTAGTTATTATTTATTGAATTAGCTGAAGTTTATTGAATCTTTATTCATATTGCCGAGTACAGCTGCCTTTGGGTAGTTCTTCTTAATCTGTTACAATTGTAAATGAATGGGAAAAGCGAGCGACCGATTTCATTCTCGGTATCATTTTGCATTTGAGAACGGTCAATCAAATTAATATCATTTCCTTTTGTTTGGGAAAGAGAGACACTGGCAGCGGTCCACTCTACCCATGATTATGGGTTTTGGTAAAATATCATCTCTTTTTGATTATAATGTCAGGGTACTTTATAAAGTCGAAATATAAACTGATATCTTCATTAATAATAATAAGGAGGAAGTTTCAACGATTTCGAAATTTGTCCTTTAAAAACATTTCCTTGTGTTTAGGTAAGCATATCGGTCGATCACTGACTGAATATGCCACTTAATACTCATTCAAGTTGGCATTAAATTCATATATAATGACATTAAACTGTCGTGGCAAAGCAGAATTTGTTGGAAATCACGAATGAGCAAAATTCTCACCTTTCGCACGTGCAAACTTTGAGCGGACGTTGCGTGCGCATCCAATATTGAATCGCCGTAAATTTTTGCATGTAATTGTTTTATGTATAGTTTATGACGTCATCAAGGGGTGTTCATGACGTCAAATAATTTGTTTATACAATGTAAACTAAAGTGTAAACAATTATTCTCAAGACCTGTGGTCGGAAATGGCTGTATCTTTTATACTTTTGAATCTATGGACAATTAAATACAGGCTACAATTGACTGGCAAAGCGTCTATCCCTGAATATATGGACACGTTCATTTGAGTTTGAGGATATTGGTAAATATAAGTGACCCTATTAAAAGGCACAGTGTAGTTGACTTTGTCACACTATGAAATAACACAAACCCTTGATGGTTAGGATAATCGTCTCATCCTCTAGGCTAGCTTTGTCACTTAACCATATCTTAATCAGGTGATAAGATATCGCTTAAATACGGTCGGCACGGAAATGGTTACATTGTCACACTATAAACATGTGACAGAGTAAATATGGACCCCTTGCTGCCGTTTTTGACCAAAATTTTGTGTGTCCAGTTGATTGGATGGGTACATATGACCATTACCTACATATTTGACGACTTTTTTCGTTAGATGGTGCACTCAGGTTTACTGTGTCACACATTTAAGAAAATATGTGAAGAATGTTTAGGGAACCCTGATAAGCAATGCTGAGTAGTGTAGGTTTATTTAATGGCCTGGAAGTGCTAGGAATTGTTATTATATCATATAGTCGCAAGGAATTAAAACACAGAAGGCACAGACAAGTTTACTTTGTCACATAATCTTGATGATATCTGAACATGTGTGAAATTGAACAAATAATGATATACCAGCTTAAACCCTTTGTATTACGTACTATGGATTTTACCAAAACCCATAATCATGGGTAGAGTGGACCGCTGCCAGTGTCTCTCTTTCCCAAACAAAAGGAAATGATATTAATTTGATTGATCGTTCTCAAATGCAAAATGATACCGAGAATTAAATCGGTCGCTCGCTTTTCCCATTCATTCACGGCTTACGAATTGTATAAATAAGTTTCGATTGATTACATCAATCAGATGCTGTAAAAATCTCTTTGGGTTGCGTTCGGGTCGATACCTAGTATTTCGGGGTAAGGGACAAGGGTGGTAGTTATTACTTATTGAACAAGCTGGAGTTTATTGAATCTTCATTGCCGAGTAGAGCTGCCTTTGGGTAGTTCTTCTTAATCTATTACAATTGTAAATGAATGGGAAAAGCGAGCGACCGATTTCATTCTCGGTATCATTTTGCATTTGAGAACGGTCAATCAAATTAATATCATTTCCTTTTGTTTGGGAAAGAGAGACACTGGCAGCGGTCCACTCTACCCATGATTATGGGTTTTGGTAAAATAGTATACCCACAATAAATGCAACGGTCGTGCTTGCCAGCACTGTGATCAAACAACACTGCTAGTACCATGCACCAGTCACATAAATCATTATCCGGTGGTAATATGTTAACAGTGTCACAATTAAACTACCGCAACATGGTCAAAAATAGGGTAATTTCGTCACAAAAAAATTATTATAACTCTGTCAGCTCCTTGCTGGCAAAATAACTAGTTTATCGAAATTTTTTTGATGATAAAGTTACATAGTATTCTAATAGAGGTATAGCTCTTCAAAATAGGGGCAAGACATGTTTACTTCGTCACATCAGTTATTATAAGAGTTAGGTAATCGTCATCAGATTAACCGATCTTTTTCGTAGTATGGATCGATTAATATAGGCAATAAAGCATCCTAATTCCTATGCCAATTTTAACACACTATCTTGATATTGTTGGGGCAGGAAAAGTTAATTTTGTCACATTTTTAGTGACTTAGACAAATTTAACCTGAAATTGTTAAACTTGAGCTCTGATGTTCTGGACAATATTCTACCAATTGTTTCTGAAAGAATGTTGAATTCTAATACAGTTATAGATAAATAGATCTTCAAAATAGGGGCAAGACATGTTTACTTTGTCACATCAGTTATTATTAGAGTTAGGTAATCGTCATCACATTAACATATATTCTTTTGTAGTTTGGATTGATTTATTTAGGTAATAAAGCAGCCTATGCTAATTTTTACACACTATCTTGAAATTGTTGGGGCAGGAAAAGTTAATTTTGTCACATTTTTAGTGACTTAGACAAATTTAACCTAAATTGCTAAACTTGAGATCTGATGTTCTGCACAATATTCAACCTATCGTTTCTGAAAGAGTATTGAATTCTAATACAGTTATAGATCTTCAAAATATGGGCAAGACATGTTTACATTGTCACATCAGTTATTATTACAGTTAGGTAATTGTCATCACATTAACATATATTTTTTGTAGTTTGGATTGATTTAT